AGTTATGAACTCAAACTTTACATTATAATCAATTTACTTCAAAATGGATTTAAGGTTTGAGTCACATTATCATTTATAAGCTAAATGAACTTAATACATCTTGTTACATAGGCTTTACAAAATAAGTTCATGCTCAACAAAAATACATCCAAAATGCTCTCCAAGTGCCCTCAAGCCTGTGGTGGATTATCATCCGCCAACTCCTTGCCATGCCCTGAAAAATGTTAAGTGTAATGGGGTGAGCAACTTGCTCAGTAGATGGCACTTAAGACACGCCTCTTGTGTCCCCTTGAATCCACACAAAGAATAGAGCAATAGAAAATAGGGATCATACAATGTCGGGACAATATCACATACCAATCAATCCCAAGTATACATAATATAATGCAATGGGAGTGTAATGCATGTCGATGTCGCTCCCCATTTTCACATTCAAAATCATCGCTTTCAAATTGTTAATATAACCCACCCTTTGGTGACCCCGCAATGACATGAGAAAAGGATTGGCTAGTGTCTCTGACCCTTGGTACCCCCGCGATGTCATTATGAGGCTCATCTAGCTCAACCACGCTAGGGCAATCTCCCTAGTTCCCTCTAGGCTATATTAACCTTCCGGCCCTTTGGTACCCCCGCGGCGACCGGGTTTTCATAAAACACTTTAATAAAATAAAATATAAAAAAAAAAAAAAACCATTCTCCCAAATTCCCCATTTTCATTTCAAAACAATTTCCTTCATGCAAACCCAATGTTATGCATATGAGTCTCATGCTTTTCTTGCAATAATACTAAGAGATTTTTCACAACACAATTAAACATGTCCTCATACATCATTTATAGCATGTTGACAACATAGTAGACTTAGGAACTCACATAAAAGCATGCTCATCATACAAATTAAATTAATACACATCTTCATACATTCATACATGTTCCATCAAGTTAAAGTAACTATAATCACCACAATTAAGCATGCTAGTACACAAATCAAGTAAATTAACTCACTAAAGCACAAGACTTCGTGGATTAAGGACCCCTACCTCAAAAATGAGCGAAACCCTTGAAATGGGTCAAGAAATTCGAAATCCCTATGGAGGCTCAAAGCTGAAATTGTTGGTACTCACGCTTAAAGCTCCTCGTGCTCTCCGTTTTGCCTCAAACGGTACTCCAAAATTCCAAGTATTGAAGATGGAATCTTGATTCAAAGTTTGCTTCCAAAAGAAAAGAAAAATGAAGAGAAAATGGAGAGAGAAGGAGTTATGGGAGAGAGAGAAAAATGAGGAATCAAGGTGGTCTCTAGACCACTTAAACCATAGTGGTGGGTCCCACCACCAATTTTCTTTTCTTTTTCCGTTTTTCTTTTTATCTTAATTGTGACATTTCCGATTTTCGCCGTTTTTCTTTTTTTATAAAAAAAAAAAATTGTCGCCGCAAGGGCATTTTCGTCATTTCATGTTTTGCGTACGGTATTGTGGTTGGGTCCAATTGCATATTGTACATTTTTATTTATGTGGATCAAGTGGTATTTGTATGCGATGCATTAATGTGTATGAGGTGTAGAATGGAGACATAAAGAAAAAGAGATAATAAAATAAAATTTTGTGGGGCTAGCCACTAATCCCACATGTAGCTAGAGACCATTTTTTTTAGTCACTCATTTCTCTCCTCCCGTCCATTTCTCTCTCTTCTCATTTCCTCTTCATTTTCTTCTCTTTTGGCTTCAAATTTTGATCTTTGATTTCTCACTCCACACTTAGTGATTTTGAGTGCCGTTTGAGGCGAAACGGAGAGCATGACGAGCTCTATGCATTGATATCAACAATTTCAGCTTTGAGCCTCCCCTTGGCCTTCGAAAATTTGAACCCATTTTAAGGTTTTGCTCTAAATCAAGGTAGGGGTTCTTAATCTACGAAGTTCTTGCGCTTTAGTAAATTGGTCTACTTGAATTGTGCCTTAGCATGCTTAATTGCTTTGATTTTAGTTTAAAAATGACTTAATTAAGAATATGTGAATTTATGTGAATTTGTGTTCATTGTGTTGCCAATATACTATAAATGATGTATGAAGGACATGCCTAAGTGTTGAATATATAATTCCATAATGCTATATTTTTATTATGCAAAAGCATGTTGTATACTCTTTGGAGAATTCTTGTGAATGTATGCCTTGATGACTAAATTTGAGCTAGTTGTGAGATAATGATTATGCACATGACATTAGTGCATTTATGCATACCATTGGGTTTGCATGAAATGGGAGAAATTGCTTTTAAAACGAAAATGGGAAGTTTTGGGAAAGAATGTATTGATACACGTGTTTTGATAAAACCCGGTTGCTGCGTAGTCACCAACGGGCCGGTAGGTTAATGTAACCTAAAGAGAACTAGAGAGATTGCCCTAGCGTGGTTGAGCTATCTAGGCCCCATAATGACGCTGCGGAGTCGCCGAAGGTCAGGGACAGTAGCCAATCCTTCTCTCGGTGCTGCGGAGTCACCAAAGGGGGTTACATTAACAGTTTGGAAAGTGATGGATGAACGGTTTTGAAAATGGGGAGTGGCATTGACATGCATTGCATTCCATTGCATTGTATTGTTAATGTTGAGCTCGGATACGATGTTGTATTTTCCTGACTTTGTATGACCCCGATTCCTATCGCTCTATTATTTGCTTGGATTCACGGGGACACAAGAGACGTGTCTTAAGTGTCACCTACTGAGCATATTGCTCACCCCATCATATTCTACATTTTTCAAATCATGGAAAAGAAGTAGCCGACGGTAATCCCACTCAGCCTTAGCTTGGAGTAGGAAATGTCTTTTTGCTAGCTTTTGTAGTTAGATTTAATTTTGTAAAGATGTAGACTCAAAATGCATCATTTTTGCAACATGTAAAATATTTGAATTTATTGTGTATATGACCATTGGGCAATGTAATTAAGTTTTACTCACTCAAAATCAGTTTGTGTATTTTTAAGTAACGTGGGGTAAATTACGTTATTTCGTGGTTGTTATTATTGTATTAGATGTTGGAAGGTATTGAAAACGACACGTAAGTGTAGTGGCGTGGGTAGTTGAATTACCAAAAGTTGGTGTTTATGGGTTACACAGGACAGTGGGAAGTGGAAGTGAAAATTTTCTAGAACCGGTCGACGTGTGGCTTCCCATGCGTCGACCGGTATCTTCACAATGAGTTGTTGTTGCACATAACCCAAACCAGTCGACGTATGGCTTCCCATACGTTTAACCGGCATCACGTCCCAAACTAGTCGACGTATGGCTCCCCATACGTCGACCGGTATCTCGGCAGTGGGTATTTCCACTGTTCATAACCCAAATCAGTCGACGTATAGTGTACATACGTCGACCGATTTCTGCCTTTTAATTAAACTCCCAAATTACACTTTGGCACCCAATAAATGTTACACGTACTTATTTTATAGCCCAATAAAGTGTAATAATTATATTTTAACCACCGAAAGGACTATATTGCCCCGAACTTTATTTTATTTATTATGTGATCCAAGTTAATGACCATTATACCCTTTGAGTCTCAAATTATTGAATTGTGGCAATTTACCATTTTGTCCTTTTTGGACCATGATATTTAAATTTAACGTGAAATTACCGTATTACCCTCGGATGATTTTGGGTTGGGAAAGGACCCGTTTAATGATCCGGATCCATGAGGAGCTGGGTCGTTACATTAATATTACACCATATATTAAATACATGCACCACCAAGTAAATACCACTTAATTCACATAAAATAAAATGTGTGAAATGCAAGTGGACCCAACTAAAATTCCGTACAAAAGAAGTGAAAAGACATAAATGCCCTTGCGGCAACAAAATTCCAGAAAAATTGAAAATGCTGAAAATTGGGAAACTTCATAGGGTTTTTCTCAAAAAACCATTTTATCAAATTCTCCCCAAAATCCCCTTTCAATTTCATTTCAAAACACTTTCCCTTTTTTTTTATGCCCAATGCTTATGTGCATATATGGAAATAGAGAGAATTTTTAACACACAATTAACAAGCTTTCACATAAATTTCTAACAAATTAATTGGCATGGAAAACTAACACATTAAGCATGTTTATTTTATTTTATTTCATTTTATTATTATTATTTTCATACAATTTAATTAAATACACATTATAATTCAATTAAATACACCTTCTCACATATTTCATATATACAATCAAGTCACTTTAAGGAACAATTATCACAATATAGCATGCTAGAATACTAATAGGATACTAATCAAGAAAAATTAATTCACAAAGGAACAATCATCACAATTTAGCATGCTAGGATACTAATCAAGAACAATTAATTCACAAAGGAACAAGATTGTAGGAATTAGAGACCCCTACCTCTATTTTATGCAAAAACCCCCCAATTTGCACCACAAACTATCAAAACGGGTCAAGATTTTCGGACTCCTTAAGTTGCTCAAAACTGAAATTGCTGGTACACACGTGTAGAGCTTGTCGTGCTCTCCATTTTGCCGCAAACGGCACTTAAAATTACTAAGAAATGATGAATTAATCAGAGGTTGAAGTTGCAAAGGAAAAAGAAAAAGAAAAAGACAGCGAGAGACAGAACACTGGCCGAGAGAGAGAGAGAGAGAGAACACTGATTGGAAAACAAAAAAATTGGGTCTGTATAACCCTTTGTCACGTGTCGTAGTAAATAATAGGAGTGGGTCCCACCAATAGTATACATATATATATAAAAATCACATTAACATTACATTAGATTTTGTTGATAATTATTGGGACTTATAAGGAAAAAGAGTAATACTAGCTTTGACACAACCTCCTTTATTCAACAACAAAAAATGTGAAACTTATGATCCTTTGTTCGCCGGAAAAAAACGAAAAAAAAGAAAAGAAAAAGAAATTGTAATTATTCAACATTTATTGAAAAGATTCCAGTTTAATGCAGTATATAATTGACAGACTAATAAACTGTAAAGTGAATTTTTGGATATTATTTGGTATATATGCTACATAATCACTTGGTCTACAAGGTTCAATCAGTGTGTCTCTTTTACCTAATTATGCTTAGACTACAGTAATTTTTACAAGAAGTTGCAAGATTTTAAGAGCCTCTCTTTCACAAGTCATTCACTTGAAGAGTTATTTGTAAAATCCATACAATTTCTAATCTCATCTATCATATCAGATTAATAAAGACATGGATGTATGTGGTTAATAACTATTTCCTTGAATTTCCAGACCTGTCCATGAGTTTCAAGTGTTTGGGGGATTTCTAGGGCACTCAATATCACTAACTCTTCTCGAGAATCGACTCTTCTGATGCCCCAACTGGATCTTTACAGCCAGTATTAACATCCTAATGGTTGTGTGTTTAAACATGATCTTGCCGGTTTCCCATTTGGCGCGAAGGACAAAAATGGCTAGAGCAACTGTTGATATGCTTCCTGTGAGGATGAAAAGTACCAAAAAGGTGCTGGGACTTAGGCTCACATTTTTGTTATCCCATTCTACTTCCACACACTTCTCTGCTGCAGTCAAGCTGTTCTCTAATTCTCTCAGCACGCCGCTTTCAGACACATTCAGCAGTGCCTCATCCATGTCAGGAAGCATAAGAGTCCCCTTGGGAAATGCCTGAAGCAAGAATCGTTTTGAACTTCATTAGTTGTTTTATGTACTATTTTCCTATGATGTTGTGTGCAATTCGATTCTAAAATAACCCTCAAACCCCATCCCCATTTTGAACTTTTATTCAAGGTACCTTTGAAGTCACATGAGTGGTTTAACGTATAAAGTCAGAAACTCTGAAAGAAAATGAGTTAAAAATGACCTTATTCATAATACATTGGAAGTCAAGAGAGTGTTTTAATGTATGAAGTTAGAAACTTTGAATGAAAAATTACCTTATTCAAGGTACCTTTGATAGTCTTTTATACTAAGCAGATAACTCCATATGGTATCATCTCCCCTCCCAAAAGTGGAGGTTGAGTGTTCAAGCCCTGTTAGGAGTAATATTGTGGGTATGTACACGTTTACTTGAAATTCCGGAGAAACTTAGGCATGACCTAACTAGTTTAGGTCTTTATCCGTTTAAACTAGCTATTTCTATATGTTTATAGAAATTATAATGCAGATAACTTAATTGAACGAAGAAAGGGGAGAAAAAAAATTACAAATCCATATCCTCCGACTCTGAAAGTTGGTCCTGCCATGATGAAGCTCTTGCAATATTTGGCCATGAATAACTTGGCCGCAGGGACTTCAAGAAAAGCTGCTGCAATTTCTCCAGTTCTGAGGGCTTGGGCATATCCTTCCGTGGTTGAATAATTCTTGACATCATTGCGGTTGAAATGTAAGACATCCACCAAGTAGTTCACCACTAAAGATTTTGTGGAGTACCCAATCTTTGCATTGCTATTCTTTAGTGTTTCGATATCTGCTACCTTTGGTTGAAGCCCTTGGACAGTGAGCATGCTGGTCAGACTAGCTGTGTAGCTCTGTGAGATGATTAGTATCACAAAAAGCCACACCAGCGTCGTCATTCTTGATAAATTACTATGTAGCATTTCCCCTATGCACAAATCCCAAACAAATTAGCTAGTGATATCTCCTTTACCTTCTAAAGTGAAAAGGCGAGATGTTTGATGTGTTACCTTGTAAAGAGAAGGATGTGGCAAAAGCAAACCAGAGCAAGATTCCTAGTTGATTCAGTGTTGAGCCTTTGAGCTCAGGGCAGTGATTCCGCTCTATCATCCATATGACGAAGCCATTGTAGAGATTTATGACTGCTGTAAGAACCCACATGGATTTTGTGAATGGCTTTGTGAATAGCCAAGTCTTATTGCTCGATTGTGACTGAACCGGGACTACCATCACCAATCCTGATTCTGTATGAGGATGTGTGAATTCAACATATTTGTATCTGCTGTAAATAATTGCTATGTCTCCAACGGCTGCATCAAAGTTCTGATTTCATGAACAAAAAAATTCAAGTCAAATGATCAAATCTAAAATAAAAATGAGCAGGGACAAAACACAAGATGAATGAATGATCTCACCTTTAGATGAACTTGTTCCACCAAAGAAGTGTGATTGCCGTCCCATGGAATGAACTCATATGGCAAATAGTATGGTAATCGTTTCACGGTTTTCTTGAACACTTCGATTGAAAATCCATTGAAGGAGTAATTATTTGTAGAAGGATCATATTGAACATTCACAAAGTGGTTGGTTAAGGATCCGTTTGGCACGCCTATTCTTAATGGCTTGGCCATGGTTGGAAGAGTCCACCCTTTTGGAGTATACCAAGGTCCCCCAGGCCACATCACTAGCCCCAATTTTTCCATGGAAGGACTGTAGGTAGCCTTTTCATCAATAGTCTCCGAGAAGCCTTTTTCGTCGGTCCAGAACCCATGTTCTCTATGACTCCTTCCAATCACATTGACAATCTGAAACACTTGTGCTGGGGCTAATTTTCTCTCAACAAATTTCACATTACCAGTTAAGCCTTTGAAGTCACTTGATGAAAATTTTTCTAACAAATGTTGGCCTTCTCTGTCTCCTTCCTCAATTGCTGAAGCCACTGCTTTAGTGGCATCATAAGCCTGCAGCGCGAAAATCCCGGGTTCATGATTTTCTTCTTCTGGATGCTCCAAAGCAAACTTTTTACGAAATTTCAGGTAGAAATCATGTAAATGTGTCCGGGGATCTGGGAAATAGCTCCTGATGCCTACAACCCCTAGCATGGAATAAATGGAAGAATGGTTAATGTAATGGACAAGACTTGTTGTGGAGTCTGTAGTGATCCACACATAATCTTTTTCCATCATCTTCATCTCCTTCGCGGCCTCAAATAAACGAAGAGCCAAGGGCAAGGAAGAATGGACCACAAAGACTCGACATTGCCCTTTTTTAAGCTTCTCAAGATCATCAGACAGCGCGTTGAAAGGTGAGAGTGCTACGAAATGGCTTATTTCTGCACCATTTTCGCGGAGGGCATCAGAGAGATGAATTAATCCATTGGCAGTAGAATCAGTGTCCTCAAATATAACAATGACCTTATGCCATCCCCATGACTGAACAACAGCAGCCACAGCTTTCATTTGCGCGTGATGGCTCGGTGAGGCTTGAATTAGGAAGGGCCAACGCCTCGTTGCACATGGTGGAGTAGCATCAGCTAGAGAAAGAATGGGAATTGTATGAGAATTTAGGCTACAACTCTCTGCAACTGTTGATGCTTCTTCCCATGTCTGTGGCCCCAAAATGGCTTGCACTACCTCCTTGTTGATAAGATCATTAGCTGTAGGTCAATGTTGTTGCGAAATTAGAATGCATTTTTATTCTACAAGGCTAAATTTATAATCAAATAGTAATTGCATGTTCATGTAAAACATCAACTGAAGAAATTAATTATTAGGTATGCTATAACATCATTTGGACTATTAGCCACTTTTCATTATCAAATGTGACTATCAACTTGTCCAATTGTTAGTCACAGAGATTCTATACATCGATCCAAATTATAAACAAGGTCTAGATATTAATAGTTCGGATAGTGTGTGTATATATATTACAAAATAAAAAATCAAGTTCATAAGATATTTTGTTTGGACGTAAAATATTTTTTTTGGAAAAATATTTTTATTTTTCAGGTAAAATATTTTTTTATGTTTACTTTGTCGGTATTTGGCAAAGGTACGTTGAGATTGAGGTCGAGTCTATCGAGCGGGACATGTAAAATAACTTGTCGAAAATTTACGAATAAATTATTTTTGTTAAATTTTAATATTTTTTTCCTTCGCAAATATTTTACGACAACCAAACACCAGAAAATAAAAAAATATTTTCTGAAAAATATTTTACGTCCAAACAAACGGAGCCGTTAATTTGTATTAGTTGAACTCACTCAAATAAAAAAGATAATTTAAAGGAGAAGAGTTGATATGTGTGCGCGCGCGCGCGGGCATAATTAATTACCAGCAAAAGCTGCCCGGATGGTTTCTCCATGAGAGTTCATTACATGCAAAATCAATTTTTGATTGGTGTGGTGGTTGAAATCATCTATTGCCATATCTATGGCCACTTTTGCTTCTTGACCCTTGCGAGAACTCAAATCAACAATGGCTCCTATAATGCCCTTGACATGGTTTTTCGCTGTCGAATTCATGCTAACTGCTTTATCTGGAAATAAGAACAAGGATGCCAAGGCCATGATAGAGAATAAGAGATGACAAAATGTTTTCATCATTTTTTTTAAACACCTAACTAACAAGAGCCGCCACCTTCCCTTTTTATAGATATAAGATGCTGTACTGGTGCTGATGGCAGTGTTTGGATTGCAAGAAATTAACTACACACAGATTTGTTTTTTCTTGCAATTCACGCGGTGAGTCATGAGGGAATGCTCTAGTTGTGGAAAATTCAGTTGAAGTTGATTCGTTGGAATGACTTTGATTGGAGGATGTTAGTACTCATTTTCTTTCTTGACAAACCACGTTGTGTGATAGAAACTCTTGTATCATAGACCACATATATATATATATATATATATAGCAATTGTGATCAAGCTGGCAAAGAAACTATCCATATAAGAGTTTCGGGGAACGTTGATGCAGCTTTCTTGCAACCTACAGCAAATAAAGACTAAACTAGTTTTCTTAGGACAAAACCGTAATTAAAAAGTACGACACAAAAGTACACACACTATATAAATAAGTAGAGTAAATATGGCTCAGCCCAAATAAACTAGTCAAGGAATCAAATTGGGACCTAATATGGCTTCAATGGAACGACCCTAAAATAATACTAGTCATAAAAAATAAAAATAAAAATAAAAAATAAAAATCGGCGTGACCTTTACTAAAAAAAGTCCTACCGCAACCTATCGAAATGCACAAAAAAAAAATGTAATAGCCTCACTTAGCCTTAACTAATCTATCATGTCCCAACGCACAACGCAAATAATATAAAACGTTTCTAAAACAACAATATACATATAAAAAGAATCCCTTTCCTCCAATTCATTCAATAAAATAAATAAATAAAATGAAAGTGTCAGTCCCCTACCTAGTTCCATATTCCTTTACAAGAAATATAATCTAATTACATCAATTTACAGTCCATGAAATACGGCTGAAATCGAAAGTCCATAATTTACAATATTATACAAATTATACCAAAATTTTACAGAATAGTCAAGATTTACATTTACAAAATATTAAAATTCTAAAACAAAAATAACAAAATATAAATCTCCAATCCCGTCTAAACTTGTGATGGATGATCGTTCGCCACCTTCTTTCCATGTCCTGAAAAATATTAATAATAAGGAGTGAGCAAAATTGCTCAGTAGGTGGTGCGTAAGACATACCTCTTGTAACTCCGTGAATCCAAACAATGAATAGAAAAATAGAGAAGCGGGATCATGCCATACCGGGGTAAACATAGCAACAAAATTGACAGTCCAAATCATAACTAAATTATGTCGTGCAATGGGATGTGATGTCATGCATATCATTCCCCATTTTTCCAAAAACCATTTCTGCCATCATTCCCAAACTGTTAATGTAACAACCCAAATCCTCATGGATCCGGATCATTAAACGGGTCTTTACCCAACCCAAAATCATCCGAGGGTAAAAACGGTCCTTTCACATTAAATTTAAATATCAAAGCCCAAAAAGGGCAAAATGGTAATTTATCACAATTCAATAAATTGAGACTCAATGGTACAATGGTCATTAACTTGTATCACATAGTAAATAAAATAAGGTTCGGGGTAATATAGTCCTTTCGGGGGTTAAAATATAATTATGACATTTTATTGGGTCATAAAATAATTACGTGCAACTTCAAATGGATGCCAAAGTGTAATTTGAGAATTTAAAATAATAATACCGGTCGACGTATATACACTATACGTCGACTGGTTTGGGCTATGAATAATGGGAAAACCCACTGCCAAGATACCGGTCGACGTATGGGAAGTCATACATCGACTGGTTTGGAACATGATACCGGTCGACGTATGGGATGCCATACGTCGACTAGTTTCGACTAGTTTGGGTCATTCACGTTCAAATGCTTACTGTCAGGGTACCAATCGACGTATAGGAAGCTACACGTCAACTGGTTTGGGTTATCCTCACCCACTGTCCAAACACTGTGCCACTGCACTCATGTACATAAACTAAGATACATTTCAACATTTAATTACAATAATAACCACCACGTTGATAACCTAATTTACAACACATTATATAATATACGGGAATTAATATGATACGAATTTAATTACATTACCCAAATGGCCATATACATGATAAATTCAAATGTTTTACATAGGGCAAAAATAATACATTTTGTGTTATGCACTTTACAAGAATAGTTTAAGTCCCACAAATTACATTCAAAAATGCTTTCACATTCCCTTAGCCCTGTGGTGGATTATCATCCGCCAAATCCTTACCGTAACCTCACTACAAGAAATATGGGTTTTAGTAACAGTCCTTTAGGGACAGTCCTAAAAACTGTCCCTAAAACCCTATGTTTTAGGGACAGTTTTTTAGGACTGTCCCTAAAACCTTATTTTTTGGCACAGCCTCAAGGACTGTCCCTAAAACCTAACTTGCCCGTCCCTAAAACCTTATTTTTTGGCACAATCTCATAAACTGTCCCTAAAACCTTAACTAGCCCGTCCCTAAAACTTTATTTTTTGGCACACTCTAAAGACTGTCCCTAAAACCTAAACTAGCCCGTCCCCAATTCCACAAAAAATAGCGCGGTAACATTTGGCACTTCATTTTTTGTTTGGCGCTACAAAAATATAATATATAAAATAATTTTATTTTATAAAATACTGAAAAGGGGCATAAACTACGTCGTTTAATCATATATCTCATTACATTTGTATACCTAGTCTTCAGTTCTGAACGCTCAAGCCATTACGCCTCTTCCACCGTCTTCTATCCTCTTCCACCGTCTTCCATCCTCTTCCACCCTTTTCCATCGTTGCAGAAGACGGAGGCTCTTCCACCCTCTTCCACCGTTGCAGAAGACAGAGGTTCTTAATCAAACATTCTTTGGGCTTCAATCTTCACCGAATCACAAGATTCAATCTTCACCAAATCTGGAGTCGGCTTGTGGTCTGAGGCTGAATCGCTGTGGGAAATACAGGTTTGCAGAAGCGATTCATTGTTGTTTCGAAGAGAATCTCGGGCTTGGTGGAGACTATCAAAATCAGGAGGTACTATTGTGATGGAACTTTATAAACCCTTATATATTCTGTTATGTGTTCCTTATATATTCTGTTATGTATTCCTTATATATTTCTTGAGATATAGTTGAAATAGATTTTCTGTTTGTTCTTATGTTTTATTGTTACATACTTTTTGAATGGTGTGATCTGGTTGATTTGGCTGCAAATTTTCATGATAATTTAGGTCTTTATTTAGATTCAGTTGTTTAGGAAGCTGCAATTTCATTTTTCCAACAGTTTAAATAAGTTTATTGTTAATTTCTTCAAAGTTACTGTCAAGGTATTTAATCAGATCTAGACTATCTCCAATGATGTTCCATCCACCTTGTCTCCTAAATCTTACTAAGAAAGATGCTCCGAGTTCAATGGGGGAACCTTTTTTATTCCCTTTAATACTTAGTCATGATGCTCCTATGTTGACCTAGACACCATACCTTATTAACCCCCCATCTAATACCAATTTTCATACTTTAACTCCTAAGGTTGACCTCAATCTCTTCACCTATCTTTCATTGTTAGTTAAAATGAAAATGTTTTGTTTACCTAAACCATGAACAGAATAAAAGCTTAAATACATTAAGGTTGAGTTCACGAGTCAGACACTTGAATATTTTTGAGGATCGATAAAGTCTCCATCTTCATTTTAGGTTCAACCTGTAGGTGAATCTAGCTAGCTAGCACCATTTAATTTTTTATTTTTATTTTATAAAAATAAAAATAAAAATAACTCACAATAATGTCAAACTATTTTATGGTAATGTAACCATATAGTAGTTTGAAATTTTTATTTCTGTCTTCAGCCAATATAGTGCCCAAATGTATTAATCTTAATAGCCATTGATTTTAATTTGTTCTCCTGAAATCTTCCAAACCTTTAGACTGGTAAGGAGTAGCTAAAACTGATAAATGTCTGCCAAACCTTCAAATTGGTAGGAATTAGCTGATGCTTATAAATATGTTGGTCCCAACTCTACATGCCATTAATGAACTTTTCACATCAAACTTCTTTAAAATTAATATATATATATATATATATATATATATATATATATATATATATGTCTCAATGGTACTTCCAAACTCCATTAAAAAAAAAAAAAAATTATATGGCTGAAATCAAATATATTGATATCAGATTGGATTACAAAGTATATTTCAAGTTTGCAAAACTACCAATGCATACTAATCAAATATATTGATATCAAATTGGTGTGTCAATTCTTTTTGGAGTATCTAATCAAATAATATATATAATGTATATATACCAAATTACCAATGCATTTATTTATTTTTTGGGGAAGTTTTTTATTAATTTAGATGTATGTGGCCTGCAAATCCATAGAAAATGGATTATACTCTTCGCACTTTGGATTAAAATTATGGACCTAGCCATTGGATTCTTCCCAACAACTTTCCTCATTACTTTTCTTAATAATTTCCATTATGATTTCAAGCTATTTGGCATCGGAGAAGATGACATACTAATCATATCTACTACAAACTGAGAGCTGGATTGTCCTAATTAAATTTACAAACTACTAGGCAAAAACTTAAGTATGCAAAACTTTCTATTGCACTGTTTTTGGGCTAAACCAGTTAATAATTATTTACCTTTTCATGACAATGATTGTAAGTTAGGTTACAGCAGCCCATAATTCTATCCCTTGGTGGTTATTCTTTCTATTTCTAAAACAAAGACACAATTATACACACACACCCTTTAATTTCACCTTTAATAATTAATTGCTAATTTCCCTTTGCTTTATACTACTCCACTATAACAATTAATTTTTTTAAAAAAACATTTATTTATAGCTTTGAAGAAAATGTCTTTTGTTGGCTTTTCTCGTTGATGATTGAAATGATACTGTTTTGATGCACTGTACGTGCTAAATACTCTCTAAATAAGAGGTTCGTATATATAACAAAATAAATCATGTGTATATATATAAACA